GGTCACCATGAACATGAGTTGGCAAAACAAGTTAGATGTTGGATATTAGAATTATAAGTTAGAGGGACCAGCAGGTGGCATGGTGGTTAATGTGCTGGGTTTCCATATGGCCAGCCACAGTTTGAGTCCTGGACCTGGCAGCTTGCTTTCTCACTTTCCCCTCTTTATCCCTCTCTCTCTCCCTGTCTCTGGTGAACACAGGTGCCCTATAGCAAATTTTGAAGTAATAAATAAAATTAAATAAATCATTTTTTAAAAAAGAATGATGAGTTAGAGAACATACATTATCATTTGAAAAATAGTTAAGGAAGTAAACATTTATTAAAATGAATTTAAAAGAAAAACAATGTATAATATGGCTAAACTATGGGCCAGCAGATAGTGTGGAGGATAAGGTGTTGGATCCTAATTGGCTGATTCCCTGACAACTTGAAAATCATATTGGGTATGTGTGCATGCATGCCCAAAATCTCAAGAGGAGACTGGAGAAGGGATTGTGGCATGACCATTCCCCCTAAGGGGGCGATTTCTCACTTACCCTTTCTTTCTCTCTCTGTATGTCTTGGTAAGTGCCTGTATCCTATAGCAAGGAGCAAGATATTATCATAATTCAACAAGCCATATTTGAAATGGACAGGCAAATAGAATTATTGAAAAGAATTTAATGTATAGATTAAACTCAGATTAGATACTGTTGATGAGAGAATTGATAATCTTGAAGACAGAGTAGTGGCTCTCAAATGTTACCACATCAGAATCAATCACCTGGAGAGCTTGTTAACATATAGTGGGCTAGGTCCCACCCACAGAGTTCCTGATTCTGTGGATGTGTCTTGCAGAACACAAAAATAAAACATGATCTTAAAAGCAACATCAGTGGAAGCCAGAAAATGATAGACAAAAAAAAAAAAAAAAAATTAAAAACTGAAAGGAAGTTATTGTCAATTAAAACCTCTAAAAACATCCCCAAATAGAACTTTTCTACACTGTTGGTGGGAATGTAAATTGGTCCAGCCACTGTGGAGAACATGTAGAGGTTCCTCGAAGACCTACAAATACACTACCATATGATCCAGCAATTCTACTCCTGCGTCTCTACCCAAAGGACAGAAGAATACTCGGTCAGAAAAGTGCTTGCACATTTGTATTTCTGCGGCATTATTCGTGATTGCTGACATGGAACCAACTCAAACATCCAGGAACAGATGAACGGATTGAATACTATTCAGCTATAAAAAAAAAAAAAGACCCTGGTATTTGATGAATACGTAAGATTTATTGTTGAGTGAAGTGAGTTGGGCTATGAAAGAGAGACATTGTATGTCTCCACTTAACACATACTGTCTGCCCTCTATGGTAAGAGAGTGAATGACCGGAAGACATAAAAGCTTACCTGGTTTCCCCGGGGCCCAGCATCACGCCTGTTGCCCTATGGTCCCCCATACATGCAGGCACACTGCCTTTGGGTACACACTGCTGGTCAGGGCCATAGCTATGCACAAGGACAGGCAGGAGTGTCCTGGTAGCTCAGCCAGGTGAAGCAGAGCATAGGTGGGGACTAGGAGTGGGGGGTAAGAGTAATGGAATGAGAGGGAAAGTGGGCATGGCTGGTGACACCAGGTAAAGGCGGGTCAGGAAAGGCTGAGCTCTGCACAATGTCTAGGAGGAAGAGAGGGCTTTGGAAGGGGCTGAGGCAGCAGCAGGCAGACGCTGGAAGGCTGTACTTCAGCCTGCTCGAAGGGGAGGCACTGGAGCCTGGGAGCAAGACTGTACATCACGGGAACCAGCAGTTAGCGTAATGGCTATGTTGCTGGACTCCCACGGAGTCGACCGCGGTTCGCGTCCCTGACCCGGTGGCTTAAAACTCACGCCGGGCGCATGTGTGTGCGTGCCCAAGATCCCGAGAGGAGAATGGAGGAGAAGGGATTGCGGCGTGGCCATCCCCCCTGGGGGGTGATTTCTCGCTTTCTGTCTCTCTGTCTCTCTCTGTCTGTCTGGCGAGCGCACGCACCCTATAGCAAAAACCTCTCCAAAAAAAAAAAGACTGTACATCTCTACATATGGCAGGTCACAAGCTCAGAGAGACCAAGTAACTTGTCTATAGTCACCCAGCTAGACAAGTGCAGAGGCGGGATGAAAGCCTTGCCTGTTCTCTGTAGGCATCCTTCTCGCTTCCTAGGGGTGTCTAAGAAACACCTCATCTAAAACATCCAGAGTGTTTAGCAGCTCCTTTCTCTATTATAATTGCACAATTGTGTGTGTGTGTGTGTGTGTGTGTGTGTGTATCTGCACATTATATCTATAACTGCATGATGATCCCTTGCAAGCAACTTGTAACCTTTTACCGATCTAAACTGCCTGGCAAGGGAAGGCTCTCACAGCGGCCTGCTGTTCCAGCGATACCCACACAGACCCTGCTCCCACAGCCGTTGGTAGCTCGCTTTGCACAGAGCCACGAAGACCCACCAGCTGCCCACTCGTTCAGATGCTCTGAAGGGGGTTCTCCTTGTCTGAAAGGTGAATCGTACAAAAGGTTTCAAAGATGTGGCCCTTCCCCACGTTCTGAGCTCTGCAAGCCGAGGAAGCGGCCCTCAGAGCCATGACCACCGTCTATGATCGTTTCTATATGAGGTAAGATTTTATATCATCGATAAGCGAGTCCTGACTCTGTAGTGAACATGCTATTTATTCTGGCTGGGACCGCCCTAACATCTCTGGTGAACTCTGTTGAACAGTGGCAAGAGGGCCTAAGTCACCTCAGTGTGGTACTTTATCGGACACAGGGACTTCGACTCAAAGCACCTCCGGTGAGGAGAAAGCCTGTGACTCGGACTTTGGCTGCTCACAGTCCATACCAGAGGGCCCCCCGCCCCGAGTTCAGCGCAGGTTCTGCTACTGGCCGGCCAGCCTAGACCACAGCGGGCTCCTGCTGGCGCCGGACGCTCTCGGTGAGGCAGCCTGTGTCTGAGCCGTGTCGGCTTATTTTTAGAAAGCAGCATTTCAAAAGAAGTCTTGATTTTGTCGGGGAGGGGCAGCCTGATGTGCTGAGGGTGTGAAGTTTTCTTGGTGGACAATTAAAATCGAATTCTGTTATGGATGCCAGATATGCCAGCTATATGCTACCTATAAATAGAGCAGACTTGTACTCTTTGGAGAATTGAAAACTCTGAGTAAAACCTTTGCTAGCCGGCCCCACAGAATAATACATGCAACTGTAGCCACCTCCAAGGCGTATTCTCACTAAGGGAGACAAATATTTGCAGATACAGGTCTTGCTCAGTTTTGATGATCTAGGACAGAATTGTTTGGAAATGGCGCCTTATTTGGCTTAGTAAAAACGATCATGCCAAAATGCCTAAGAGAAGGTGACATTTTAGGAAAGCTAACCCTGCCCCTCACATTCCCCGTCGTTGGTTATGGAGCACATCCCTGAGGACGGTGCGTTCAGCGGCCTGAGTAGGGGAGGGTGTGGGATGCTCTGAAGCCCTCACCCTGCAGAGCTGACAAATGAGACTAGAGGTTGGAATGGCCAACTTCAGAGAGCCAAGAGTGACGTCTCCACCCGGGGTCTGCAGGGAGCCCTCTGGGCGGGCCTGGGAGCGGTGGGGCGGGGCAGCTGTGGAAGCTCTGGGACCTACTCTCCCTCTGAGCTGCTCCTAGTAAGGGCGCCAGCTGGCCTGAGAGTGGGAGGGCGGGTGGTGCATCTGGGATGGGGGGACCTACTCTCATGGCTGGGTCAGGGGTGCGTGGCATCACCTGTTGGCTCACTGGGCTATGGAGGAATGTGGGGCTGGGGAGCATGGGTACCTTATAGTGGGACGCTGTCCACTCACCAGTCACCCTGGTTTTTGTTATAGGGTGTGTGTGCTCACTGGAGAGAGACAGAAAGAGACAGTGAGAAGGAAAGTGAGAAATCACCCTCCAAGGGGGATGGCCGTGCTGCCATCCCTTCTCCATTCTCTTCCTGGGATTTGGGGCACACATGCACACACGCCTGGAGTGATTTTCAAGCCTCCAGGTCTGGGACTCAAACTGTGATCGGCCATGTGGGAGTCCAGCACCTTCACCACCATGCCACCTGCTAGAAGTGCTCCTAACCTTAGAAAGCCATGAAAGGCCCGGGGTCTGGGACAACAGACACAAGGGTCATAGCCATAGCCTGTGAACCGGGAAAGAGCCCCATTTAGTCCATGAGAAGGAGACTGGGGTAACCCTTTCCGGGGTTCTGAAGTGGGGAGAAGGACCTTGGACAGGTGGCCTGAGTACAGCTGCTGGTGGTGGCCAAACCCCACATGCTTGGAGCAGCGGTCCCCTAAAAGCAGCAGTAGCGACTATAAGGAGCGGCAGGGGGAGGGCAGTAGGGGTGGCAGGGGGAGCACTGGCAACTCTCAGGGCCCACATTCCCCTGCCAGGTGTGGGGGTGACCGGCAGCTCTGTGGGTCACACAGACCTGGGATGATCCAGCGAAGGGAGAAGGAGAGGGGTGGCTGGAGCTGAGTCTAATCTGATTTTAGAAGTAAAAGCAACATATTTGCACCCTGGTTGGAATGGCGCAGTTCAAAGCTCTTCATAAACAGAAAGCTCAACAGGTAAGTATTTTTTTAAAAGAGGCTTTTTTTTTTCTGCCTTAGGGTGCGTGCGTTCATCAGAGAGAGAAAGAGAGACAGAGACAGTGAGAGGGAAAGTGGGGGCATAGCCACACCACAGTCTCTCCTCCTTCACTCTCCTCTTAGGACCTTGGGCACACACACACATACCTGGTGTGATTTTGAAGCCACTGGGCCCAGGACTCGAACCTCAGCTGGCCATATGGGAGTCAGTGACAACAGCTATCCATCTGCTGGCCCCTCGACAGGTAAGATTCAAAAGCAGAACAAATAAAATAAAACTTGGGGCAGTCTTCATGCCAAGTTCTGGGTGGGCCGGCCTGGCACGCGAGCGAGGCTGCTCAGAGGAGGTTTGAGGAGGGAGGGGCTGGGGATGGCGAGGCGCGGTCTTACCTGCTCATCCGTCAGGATTTGGACGTAGCGTGTGCAGATGGCCCTGAACTCGTCCCTGGAGACGGTGTTTGTCTTCATGGTGTCAAAGTTCTCGAACTCCTGGGCGATGGCCTGGTAGTGGGAAGCCACCGCTCTGTGGAGACGTGCCAGGATGTCTTTGTCTGCAATCTCCTTGGACAATCTGGGCGGCGGGCCCTTGGGCATTTTCTCAGCCCACTCGTCAGCCGTCTGAACCGAACAGAACAGGAAATTGGTCCACATGATAAATAAGAAATCATCGCTTGGCTTTGGGCCATCACTCGGGGGGGGGGGGCGGGGCCACCGCCGGGGGGGGGGGGCCCAGCTTAGGGGGAGGTGAGCCAGGGAGCAGAGGTGACCCAGACGCAGCACCAAGGCAGCGTGGCTGCAGGCTGAGCTTAGCGGGCAGAAGCTGAGGCCCCTCCTGGGAAGGAGCAAAGCGAGTCAGTCCCACTGGGGCAGGGCAATGCCCCGGGTAGGGGTGGCTGAGCGGCCGGGGGCAGGCCTGGTACTCCAGTCCACCCGCTCATTCAGCCTGCCCCATGGCTCGTTAACAAACGCAGCAATGCCTGCCCTGAATGGCTGCGGAAACGACAGAGGTCCTGGTCGCCGCCCGCCAGGTTGCTGCCTGACTCCCAGCGGCGAGGACTATAGAGGTGGTCTTGGATGACGGCCAGGCACTCTGCTGCAGCTGGCTGCGCGTTCCTGGAGTCCGGACCCTTTCAAGTCACTCAGAGAGCCCATTCTGGGGAGTGTGGTGAATCTGCTGGGAGCAGCCCCCGGATGGCAGCAGGCCCCAGGCACCCTGGGCTGGGTCAGTGCACTCTGGGCATGGCTGCCTGGATGTTGGGGGGGCAGTCCTTGACTGTCCACAGTGCTGGGGAGACCAGAGGAGGATGTGCACCTCACGCACTGGGAAGAGGGCTTGCGGCGAGGAGCTGGGGGCAGCACCCGTGGAGGCACGGTGGTGGACAGAGGGGGCGGCAGGGACAGCAAGCAAGGGAAAGCTACTCGTGAACATCAGCAGAAGACAGAAGTGGCCAGGCTTCTGGTTTACCCGGGGCCAGTCGGGAGGAGGTGCTGGAGGGACTGGATACCAAGCTGAAGTCAGGCTTGGATGGGGCCAGTGCGGGAGGCTGAGTTCTGAGCCTCCTACAAGGGCCAGGAGACAGGGGAGTGGGCAGGATCAGGGAGGCAGCCCGGTCATGCAGCCATGCTGCAGTTAGAAAAGGCTCTCAAAGCCAGCCTGTGGCTGCTGTATCAACAGATCGGCTCCGAAAGTGCGAGGAGGAAGTGTGGCTCTGGGATGGGAGGGGTGACAGGCTCCGTGGGGATCCAGGGTCCTCCCTGTACTGGGCTGTAACCTGAGCTATGCCGAGTTTCCCCACCTTAACCTGAGCTATGCTGGGTTTCCCCACATCAAAACCCTTGTGACTGCAACTTGGAGAACAGCTCCTACACGTCTGTGCTGTGCTAAGGCCGTTACCAGATTTTCGCAAGCTGGGGTTAGAATTCGGTCATGTTCTGCTTTAAGCAGTTCCACCGCCATGCCTGTGTGTTAGGGCAGAGCTGTCTGCATAATGCATAAAGTCTTTTATACTTTATGAAATCGTATCACACACAGGAGGCTGCTGGGAACACCCTCAGAAACAAGAACACACACACACGCAACGTAAAGCCGCCATGTCCCAGGCTACCCAAAGGTTAACGGAGGCTTTTAAACACGTCCTTTTGGAGCCATTTGCAGAGTAAATGAACTCCTTTCTGCTCTCATTTCAGAAAATACAAGTGGTATCCGTGGTTCATCTTACACGCTCTTAGAATTCAGTCAATGCACTTCCCAGAGCTGCGAACACACACCTTTCCCTTCCTCTCCCAAGGACTGTCCATATGGAGAGAGCAGAGGGACCACCCATCACCCCTCGCACTCGGCATACCTTTGGGGCCTGCGGAGGCTGCAGCGAGCATCACTGCTGAGAACATGGGTGTTTGAGCCCAACTGGGGAGATGTGAGTCCCAGGTCCGAGTCCAAACTGCCTCCACCTGGCTGTGGCCCAGCAGCAAGCCCCCCGCCCACTTCCCCCTCGGCTTCCTCATCTGTCCAGGAGGAAGAGGCGCTTCCCTCAGACAACGTATGGGAATGCTCTTTGAAAATGTCAAAACGCCAAACTGGAAATATTATTCTATATCTGGTGAATTCTAGCAAAGTATTATACAAAATCTTAGGTTAATATGTTTTGCTTGTTTGTTTGTTTTAGAGAGATTTTTGCTATAGGGCACGTGTGCTCACCAGAGTGACAAAGAGACACAGAGAGACAGAAAATGAGAAGTCGCCCCCCTGGGGGAATGCCACGCCACAAGCCCTTCTTCCCCATTCTTCTCTCGGGATTTTGAGCACGCAAACATACAGGCCTGGCATGAGTATTATTAAGCCACCAGGTCTAGGACTCCAACCATGTTTGACTATGTGGGAGTCTAGCAACATAACCATTATGCTATCTGCTGGTCCCCCATACATTTTAAACTCGAATAGTTTCTAGCAAAAATAGACTACTTAATTGAACTGAAGCGTTAGGCAAGCCTAAATAGACAGATAGCCACAAAAGAAATGGAAAAAGCCATTCAAAGATCTACCATCTATCATTAAAAACAGTGTCAAGTAAGCCAAGAAAATTTCACAGGTGAGCTGTATTGAACCCTCAAGGAACAGGCAATTTTTGCATTAGCCAAATTACTTCGGAACACAGAAAGAGATAGAAAGATATAGTATTCCAACTACAGTGTATATTACCTTAATACCAAAATATAATAAAAAGAATGCATTAAATAGAAAATATGAAGCAATCTAATTTATAGCCCTTACTGGAAAAATGTAAAAACATCAGGAATATTCAGCACCATATTTAAAACTGATGCACCAGGATCAACTAGCATTTATCCCAAGTGTAAGACTATTTTGAAAGTTAGCAAATCTTTGAATTCCTTACATTAGCAAAGCTACGTATTAACAGATGCAAATAGGCACCTGACAAAACTCAGTCATTCCTGATAAAATAGGATAGAACAGAAAAGAATAGATAAGCCATACAGAAATAAAATGCATATTCTGAACACTAGAATTAGTCAGATTGTACCCACGAACATCATTGTGGGTGGGTGCATTATGAAGGCATTAACGTCAGGAGCAAAAGCAGATGCCCAAGGCCGTTTCTGTTACTCACACCTTTAGAGGCTCCAGTTTTTGCAATAACGCAAGAAAATGAAATAGACGTATAAGTGTTGAAACCAATATCAGTATTTATGGGTATGATTATATAAGTAGAAAATCTCAATAAGACAATTCAGTAAAGTGGTAGGATTCAAATTAAAAATACGAAAATAGGGAACCAGCAGTTAGTGTAATGGCTATGTCGCTGGACTCCCACATAGTCGACCGCGGTTCGCGTCCTGGACCCGGTGGCTTAAAACTCACGCCGGGCGCGTGTGCATGTGTGCCCAAGATCCCGGGAGGAGAATGGAGGAGAAGGGATTGTGGCGTGACCATCCCCCCTGGGGAGTGATTTCTCACTTTCTGTCTCTATGTCTCTCTCTGTCTGTCTGGCGAGCGCACGCGCCCTATAGCAAAAACCTCTCCCACGGTCGACTACGTGGGAATCCAGTGACATAGCCATTATGCTAACTGCTGGTTCCCAGCCATGATATTTTTGAAAAAGATTAGCAATGAGGTTTTTGACCTACCAGATACTAAAACTTGCTATAGAGCTGATGTAATCCGTGTAGTATTCCCACGTGCAGAAACACCCAAGCCAGTCAGTAAATAATTCCTCTGTTAAAAGTGAGAAATACCTCTCTGCTGTGGCTGAGCCATTGCATCATAAGGCCTATTTGTTACAGCATCCTCCAACAGCTAGAGAATAGTAAGGCTAACTTACAGACAACCTTGGGCAGCAAAGTAGCACATTCTAGTTTTGTAAAGGAAAATTCCTTCTTCACTCCTGACTTACCAACTTTCAAAACACAGTCCTCTGGCCATCTCCATCAAAGCTAGTGGGGACTGTCCTTCTAGTCTATCTGGGGTCATCTATGACTTCCCTCTCTGTCACCCACACCCAGACCATCCATACATCCCAATGGCTCTGCTTTCAATACAGATCTAGAAGCTGGCCACTCCATCCTCACCTCCTGACCAAGCCATCACCACCTTTTGCACAGAGCACTGTGACAATCTCCCACTTCCACCCTTAGTCACTTCTTCTAAGGATGAACGTTTCTAAAAGTGCAAACCAGAACAAGGCAGAACGCTCCAGGCTTCACGTGTCAGAGCAATGGGCAGAGCGTCCCAGTGGCCCTCCCACCTGCCGTCCAACACTGACCTCACTTTCCTGCTCACTTTGCTCAGAGCCACAAAGCCCCTCCCTTTGCCTCTCACAGCGCAAGCACAGACCCACCACGGGGCCTTTGCACTTACTCCTGTTCGGGTCTGTTCTGTTGCTAGAAACAGGAATGTCTGTATCTGGGTAATGGAATGCCTGTATCTGGGTAATTTACAAAGAATAGAGGTTTATTTCCCTCATGGTGTTGAAGGTCTAAGGTCCAGGGTCTGCATGTGGTGGGGCCCGTCTTGCTGGTGAGGCTCTCTGCAGAGTCCTGGGGTGGCACGGGGCAATACGTGGTGAGACAGAGCAAGCATGCATGTCTGTGCATCTCTCTTGTAAACCCGTGAGTATTTGATGGGGGCCCCACCCTGACACTTACCACTTCCCTACGGGCCCACCTTTTAATATCATAATCAGATTAAGTCTCCAACCTCTTAAACTCATCACAATAGGAACCAAATTTCAGCAGGTGAATTGGGGGACACACTCAAACCACAGACCCTCTTCCAGGGTTTGCATAGTATTTCAGAGCCCCACGCCTCCATCCTCTGTCTCCTTCTCCTGCTTATTTTTTGTCGCTCTGTTGCTCTCATCCACCATATTTTTGCTTCTAGTCTTTCCTGTTCTAAGAGAAAATAAACTTTGCAAAGGCAAGAACTTTGGTCTCCTGCTCACCATCGAATCCCCAAGGACTTGGAAGAACTCAGAAGCAGGGGCACAGTGGGCCCTCGGTATTTGCTCAGAGAAGGAACGAACAAACTGCATGTCCACACAGCAATGCCGCAACGCACAGGATGAGCAGGGTGCTAGGGTCTTGCGCTCTGCTTTGGCCAG